ATTTTTAATTACTGTGTGTCTTGCAGATAAATCTTGGGTAATGACCAGTTGGTCTCAAATAAACCTTATCTAGAGATATTTTTCTTGATCTTTTATGTATAATTTGTCAGTAGATTGTAGGAATGATATGGTTCCCTCTGGTTTTCGTGACTAGCTAGGCATTGTTTCTCTCTTGTATCGTCTAGACTAGAGATTTTATTTTTTGACCAGTTAATTTTAGGAATTTCTTGCTACTCTAACATTACTTTATCTGATTTATAAAGGTTTTTTTTTTAACACATATTTTCCATTTTGTTTACTCTTTTTCTAAACCTTTCTAGAATAAGATCTGTGGGAATCCAGGGCTGTCCTGGTATCCTGTTGTGTGACATTATTCCTGGGGAGACACTCACCCCAGATAGGGAACCAAAGACTGACCAAAGTGAGGCTACCACCACCATCAAACTTGGTGAACCAATAGTTTTATTTGGATCGCCCACAAGAATATTGGTGATAGGTTAATTCCAGGAACAGAAATGACTCAAAGACATCTGCATCAGCAAAGCCCACCTAACCTGGGAGACAACTCACATAAGCAGGAAACCTGGAGAGCACTACACAACCTGCAGGCAGCTCAGCAGGTTGGCGAGTGTCCTTTCCATATAGCTCTTCCAGGCAGCTGGTTTGTTCTAGAATCTCTCAGGAGTCTTGAGGAAGGAGAGGCCTAGTGACCCTAGTCAATTTTAGGGACTTCCTGAAGCTCATGACTTGTTTACTTCCTGAACTTACAGAGCTTCGTGGAAGGATGGAGTGTTTCTCCTCCTCTCAAAACATCCTGTTGTTTACCCAACTTCCTTCTAAGATGTAAGGTTTTATCTTGGAAGAAGTTGCTGTACAACATATCTCTGTACTGCTCACCATGTCACTACATCTACTCTGACACCTTTTTTCAGACCTGTCACAAGAGGTTATCTTTTTTCAATACATATATTTGTAGAATTTTTATGCATTTCATATAATACGCTTAATCATATTTAAGCCCCCTCCATTATCTATACCCTCCATATTTACCCCAGCCAGATTTCATACATTCTATCATATAGGTCTGAAATAAGGTCTATTGAGTCAAGTTTGTGTCCCCAAATGTCCCTCAGTGAGTGCGAGTTCATCCACTGGAGCCTGGTCAGCCTATCTGGCATCACTCTCACCTAGAAGCAATGAGCTGCCAATAGTTCCTCAGCTAAGGTCGAGAGTTCTTGCCCATTTCTCCGGTTCTATGCTGGGTTTTTGTCTGATTTGAGTCTGCATGGATCTTGTGTATGTGGTCACCCATGCTGTACATATGTAAGAGCAAGTGTCCAGAAGCCAGGGAGACTCTCTTTCTTTGTAGACATCCACCACCCCTGGTGCTTACCATCTTTGCGCCCCGTTGGAAGAGGTTACTTCAACACTCACCTCCTGGAACAATGAAATTCAGAACTTACATTTCAAGAAGCATCAGCTTCCTTTAACTTTTTCTTGTAAGACAGGAACCAAGTGAGGGGTGGAACAATGAGAACAGGATGTGTGAACAGTTTTCTAGCCAGGAAAGGAGCTCTGAAAGGCTTTTAAATGGAGGCAGGCAAGGCTTCCAGTGTGCTGGAGAGGAGTGAAGAGAGAAAAAGAATAAATATGATCAGTTGGGTAATAGGATTTGCATATTGTTTTTACAGAGTTAGGACCCTTCTAGGAAGAGAAGAAAGATAATCCCACTCTAAAGGGACAACCTTGGGAACCATGGGATGCAAGTGGGGAAAACAGAGTGGGAAACTTGAAGCAATGGAGTGAGTTAGCAGAGTACAAGATTCAGTGTTTTCTTCTGACTGAGGAGGTAATGTGACCAGCTGCTTGGAGCTCCTGCCTTGACTTCCTGCCATAAAGGACTGCTCCTTGAACTAGAGCCAAAATAAACCCTTTCTTCCTTAAGTTGCTTTTGTCACGGTATTTTATCACAGCTGCAGAAAAGTAACTAAGAGAGATACTAAGCAACAGTCCGAAGCAGTAAGACTGACAAACCTTTAAAAACATTGTACTTAGTGTGCATTGTACTTAGTGCTCATCACTAGCTTACTATTTCGTAAGCTACCAAGAGAGAAAAGACACTGCTAATTACATTGTGACCAGCGAACTACCAGATGATGCTTCTCAATTTTAAAAAATTATTATTTTATGTGTATGAGTGTATTGCCTGCATGTATGTATAAATGCACCCGTGTCGTGTAGTGCCTGCAGAGGTCAGAAAAGGGCATTGGATCGCCTGGAACTGGAGTTCCTGATGATTGTTAGCTGCCATGTAGGTGCTGGGAACCAAACCTAGGCTCTCTACAAGAGCAGCCATTGTTCCTAACCTCTGAGCCATCTCTCCAGCCCCGAGATGCTTCCCGGTTTTAAGGATATTAAAATCAGAAGGCAAGGAATTAGAATCTGCAAAATGCCAACATAGTACAAAATATTAGTTAAAATACGGGCATAAAATTTCACATTTTGTAAGGTCAGATTCATATAAAATATACGTGTCAAAAATTTAAAGTTTCTTTGGGAAGGGGAGTGAGATTAGGAGGCTGTGTGGATAGAAAAAATGCATGAAAATACATATATGTGCATGTATGTCCAACCTAACATGAGAGGAATAGGAAATAAATAAGGAAAAACCCACATCCATTTCAGGCAGCACACACAGACCCCAGATCATTTCTGACGAGCACGCATAGTGCGTCTTGGACTGTTTGACCTGCCCCTGGTTCTTGTAACTTCCTTGCACGGTAGCAGGCTCCCAGCATGCTGTTCCTTCAGAACTCCTAGGAACTCTTGCTTCTGTTTCCTCTGCTTTTAGAAATCGAGATCCCGTTGCTGCAGCTTCCAGCAGCTATTTGGGACTGGGAGTGACCTTGTAGTTCCTGACCCGGGGCAGCATAGTTCCATCTCATATCTGAAGGGAATGAACCACACACACACCAGAATCCTTGATGCTCACGCTGTATATAGTGGCATAGTACTTGCGTGTTAGTTTTTACAATCCTCAGTAGAATTTAAGTCATCTTTAGATTGCTTATGACATCAAATACAATGTGTTACATATTATATGATTTACATAATTAGTGTTGTAAATGGTTGCTGTCTTGTATTGTTTAGGGAACAATGATAAGGAGAAAATGTTCATACATGTTCATTCCAAAAACAATTTCGAGATTTTTAGTATTTTTTGTCTACTGTTGCTTGCATCTGCCAAGGCAGAGCCTGTATATGTGGAGAGCCAACTTCTAGAAAATACCAAATTGAAGGAAGGGAAAACCAAAAGAAAGTTGAGACAGAAGAGACACTGAGGAAACTGTTTCTTTGATTTTCTCTCAAAATAGCTCCAGGACAGCAGTGGGCCTTTGCTACTGTTTATTGGTGGTGGTGGTGCTAATGTTGTTGATTTGAGTTGGAGCATTGCTGTGTTACTCGGGTTGGTCTCAAACACCTGGGCCTAACCAGTCCTCCTGCCTTAGCTTCCTGACTAGCTGTGACTATAGGTGTGCACCTCTGTGCCAAGCTTTTCACTACTGGTTTGAAAAAGGGGATTTCCATACCTATATTTGAGCAAATAAGTTAGAAGCATCAACTCTCACATCACAGCTGATGAATTGAAGAGCAGTAATATCCATTTGTTTTGACTATGATTTCCCCTTGACCACAAATACCAACCCTTTTTGTCTTTCAGAAAGTAAAGCCCTTGTATGTGCATGCTACGGAGACCTCCTCTTCTACAAGTGTTTTCCACTCACCTTTGGTAGGTCAATTGTTTTTCCCCATCAAATATTTGATCAGTTAATGTTAGTGGAACTCATAACAAAGCGTTGTGCTTATCATGCAGGTGGAGCACAAGTTTGTGGAAATTGCCAGTGATCAGTCACCCTTTGCATCTCCCTCAAAAGGTAAGAATCTAGGAGATGGGCATGGGGTCTTGCCATAGCACTAGCTTGGGATCCATGCCCAGCACCAAAGAAAAAATAGGGAAGAAAGGTAAGACTCGATTATTGAAGAAGAAGGTTCACACAGAGGAGTATGTAGATGTATTAACTCTCGCTCTCTCTTTCCTTTCTTCCATTCTTTCTTTTTAACATCCTCAATTTGTAGTCCAGGCTGGCCTCAGTCCTCACAGAAATCCTGTTTCCACCTTGCTTTTCTTGTTTTCCTTAAGGTATTTGGTATTGTGGGTGAATTCAAGACTTGAATGCCAGGTATAACATTCATGCATTTCTGTATACTGACTGCTGCTAATTGCAGATGAATTTAGTCATACTTCAAATTCAGAAATTATCTCAGTTAAAATTTTGTTTCTTTTTGCTAAATTGCCAAAAAATACCCTGAGGTTCTTATTAAATTTCTGTTTTTCCAATTCAATAATTACTAGAAAAAGAAAACTGTCAGTCACAAATTTCTCTTGAATTGATCCTTGAAGGGCTTCAGATTGGATTGTTTTACACTGTGAGTTATTTTGTTTACAAGTATCTATAGGTCGTATCTCTAAATTTGGAAACCAAAATAAGAGAAACCTACTGAGAGTGATCAGGGGAAGGGAAGAGATATGAGATCCATGGGCTGGGGATGGACTTCAGGGAAGAATGCTTACTTACTGTGTTTGAGATCTGGGCTCCAACCCCCAGGACTGGGGGCAGGAGAAAAAGAAAGAAATTCATTATTTAAAGCTTATTTAAATGTAGTAAACAAATTGAATTAACAAAATATAGCACTGTTACTTTGAATTATAATTACTGATCATGACTAAGAGTGAGTGATTTTGGTTTTCATGTCTGGAAATGCTTAAAAGTAGACTGGTAAATGAGACTTTATGCAAAGGAGAAGTGTATGATAAGAATTTAGATCCTGGACCCCTACTTATAAAATCCTCTACGTTTTGAAAACCACAGCAGAGGTCTGAGGAGTCTCTCTTCTCCTGGACCCCTGTGCAATGAGGAAGCTTTTCTTGTGTTTATATGCACTGATGAGGGGTCAGTCAATGTCTTCCTAGGGACAAAGGAATCATTCAGCAATCACAGTGCTGAGTGCCTCCTTGGACTGATAACAGATTATAGCCATGCTGAGATTGGACTCCATAGTATACACCTACTGGCTTAGCAACAGCAGCTTTCAAAGATATCAGCATTGGAAATAATGAATTAGATCTGTTGAATTGGAAGTCCCCACACATACGGTAAGTTTTTTCCAAAATATCTCAATGCTCTTGTAACTTAATCTGTTGTTGACCTGAAATTTGAATTTTGATCGATAACCACAGCATTACATCCCCATACCAACTCAGTTGAGGACTTTGCTCCATAGTAGACCCCTTGCCTTGCATTCACATAGTGCTAGGTTTTAGCCACAATAGCACACGGAGACGACTGCTACTACTACTACTAATAATAATAATAACAATAATAAACACTTTTAATTGACTTTCTGCAGGAAAGAAAATTATTTTTCAAAGGTCCATTTTAAGTATTAACAGCACAGATGACTTTGATAGGTATGCATGTGTATATGTGGTAAAGCAGCCCTGAATTAAACAAACAATACCCATTTTCTCATCCTTAAAACTGCAAAATATAGAATTACCTGTACTCAGTTTACAGAAAATTCTCCAAAGATTCATAATTTTGCTTTTTTCCTTTACAAATAAGATTATGAATGCTTTATATGACTGTGGTTTTTCGAGTACCACAAAGCTCATTATCGTGGACGTTCATCTGCATTGTAGAAGAGATGTGTGAAAAATGTTCACACCCAAATGCCTCTGGACAAAAAGAAAAAAAAGCAGTAAAAAAAGAAATATCTGATGAAACCTTCACGTAGCACATTCTTTCTCCCTTGAAAGACAGTGTTGGAAGATAACCCTGTTAACTGAACTGCCAGTTAAAAATCTTTCATTTCACAAAAGCAAATAAATGAATGCAAGGAAGAAAGTTGGATAACTAACCTACCAGTTTGGAGAGCAAATGAATCTTCCCATGTGAAAGCAATCTCTAATAGTCATGATACACGGTCAGTGGACCACACTGTCATCACTGAACAGGTCATTCTGAACTCCCAAGGAAGGTGAAGGAAATAACTGATACAGCTCCTAGGAAATAATTTAATATTAGTATTTTCAAGCATTAATTCACAAATAAATACTAATGAGGTGTTAACTATGCCGGTAATATGTGTCTGAGCTACGAACAAACCATTCATTACTTCTATAACATGAGGAGAGGTATTCACTGTAATGTATCTGGTAATGGACAGTAAATTGAACTCTGTGTGTGTGTGTGTGTGTGTGTGTGTGTGTGTGTGTGTGTATGAGTCGCATGTATATGAGTGTGGATATGTTTGCCCATGTATGTTCATGCAGAGGCTAGAGCAGGACATCAGGTGACTTCCACTACCATTTGCTGGCTGATTACCCAGGATCTCTCACTGAACTGGTAGCCTGTCTTTTCAGCTCAGCTGGCTGACCAGAAAGCTCTAGGGATTCACCTGCTCCCATCCCAGTGCTGGGGTTACAGGCACATGCAGCCATGTCCAGTTTATTATGTGGTGCTTGTGATTCAAACTCATATCTTTATGTTTTCAGAACAAGAACTCTTACACATGGAGTCAAGTCCCAGTCCCCTAAATTGAACTCTTTAAAGTCACTGTTTTGTTTTGTTGTTTAAAATATTCAAATAAATGTTAATATTTAAAATACCCCAACTGAACATTTTCCTGTTACAGGGTTATATGCTATGTCAAAGATTTAAGTTCTTAGGCTGTACTTTCATACCACAGAATACTTTTTGAAAGTATGTATAACTAGGGGCTGAAGAATGACTTAGTGGTTAAGAGCACTGGCTGCTCTTGCAGAGGATCCCCATTCAGATCCCAGCACCCAAATGGTGGCTAACAACCATCTGTAACTTCAGTTCTAGGGGATCTGATACCCTCTTCTGGCGTATGTGGGCATTGCACAACATGGGTGCACTTACATACATGCAGGTAAAATACTCATATACATAAAATAAAATAAAAATAATAAAATATTTTTAAAGTATATAGAACTAATATGCAGTGCATAGAGGCAATATTCTATGTGCCTTTCAAGTTTTAACTCTAATTCTAAAACCCTATGAGGTAGGATTCTCCCAGTTTACAAATGACACCATCAATTTCTCCCCCTTAACAGATGGCACACATAATTACATCAAGGGTTAGTAAACTGCTTCCATGAGACCAACAGTGGAGCTGGGAGACTCAGTTGAGTGACCTGAGAGTCCATGCCAGCACCCTGGACTGTGTTGGCTGACCCCAAGATTCAGACAGAACCAGGTGTGATCTTGTTTCAATAACACATGGGAAATTTTGTGGTGCATCAGAAAGAGCGAAGGCTTTGGAGCTGACAGCTCTCATCTCAGTTCACTCCTGACTCACTGGGTGACTTTATCTCACTTTCCTCTGCTGTGTAAGGTAAAGATGGCAACTCCACCTGGTACACTTGTTAAGAGGATTAAATAAGATAATATATGAAGCCATACATAGCTAATCCCTCTGTCTACATTTCCTCCTGAGCTGTTTCTAATATAACTCCAAACTAAAATCTGGTAGATCTATATTTTAAATTTTAATTAATTAATTTATTTTATATGTATGAGTGTTTTGCCTGCATGTGTATAAGGGCACCCATGTAATTCAATACCCATGTGTGCCAGAAGAAGATGTCAGATTTCCTTGCACTAGAGCTAAGGATGGTTGTTAGCCACCATGTGGGTCCTAGGAACCGAACCCTGGTCCTCTATAAGTGCAGCCAGGACTTTTAACAGCTGAGCCATTTCACCAGCTCCCTATATTTTATCCTGCACATGAAATCAACAAGGCTCCAAGCAGTAGAACCTTGAACCTCTGTTTCTTTAACAACTAGTTTTTCTACCAGGCCTGGGTAAAACTGAAACCCAGAATTAGTATCAAAACATCCAATATTTTGGAAAAGTAAATTAAAGTAATAAAATATAATCAAAACAGTGTTTTTCCAGGGACATCCTGCCTTAACAGTCTGCAAATGGTTTTCTGTTATGACGTCCTGAAAGTTCTAAAGAGAGCCACAGATTCATTGATGCAATAGCAGTTTTAGGAGATAAATTCTGGCTACTAGGAGGGAATAAAAAAATGAGGCACAATACTATCTACAAAATTTCAAAGCAGTTTTTTACATGGTAGTAATTATCCCAACTGAACACAAGTAAGATTATTAATTTGTTTGCTACTTACCTGTGATAAAATTGGGGATGTGAGCCGCCCATTGTGTGCCTCAGATCTTATGTACTCAAGAAGACCTTTCTCACAGTCCAGTAATTACGTATTATTGACATTGTAATCTTTGGAAATGTTCTTAATGAGCCCAAAAGACACGAATCCCATAGATAAAACCTCAAAGTAACAGTGGGTGTTTAAGCACCTTGTCAGGAAGCGAAGGTTCAAACATCAGTATCTGCAGGAGAAACCCAGACTGAAGCCTAGACTGCATTGTATGGCTGATTTTCTGGGATTTCTAGGGAAGACACACACAATAGGTAATTTGAAAGGCTCTTAAGAATAGTAGAATTCTAGCAATATATTTGATAAATTTAGGAATCTTTCTTTCACCCTTTGAAACTTTGGGCATAAAAAGCATTTTCTTCACAAAGTGTGTTTTCCATGACTTTATGAAACTAAATGTTAATTAAACATGTAGTTTAGTTGCCTATATGCTTTTTTAAATACAGAAACAATTTTTAAAAGTCATACAAGAGCTGGGTGTGATGGCACACACCTTTAATCCCAGCACTCAGGAGGGAGAGAGAGGCAGAGGCAGGTAGATCTCCTGAGTCCTAGGCCTGCCTGATCTATATAGCAAGTTCCAGGACAGCCAGGGCTGCATAGT